AAACCCTAAAGCATTTATCCTACTCTATATATACCCGTATCGTCTACATATTTTTTAACTATACAACAACCACCACTGTCTTCTTAAGTCATGTTCCTCTTCTTTCTTGTTCATAAACGTCTTTTTATACATTCGTGTTCGTAAATAGATGTTTAGAAAATGTACTATCATATCTCGTATGTAATTATGTTTAGGAGTAATCAGTTATTGTTTGTAAATATAGATTGACCTGATCTTCTTTATTGTTTTTCTTTAAACCTAGAGTTTATCCCGCAAACTATAGTTGATTGGCTCGAACTTTTGGAATCATATATTCCAATGGATCTAACAGGTATTTGTAAATAATAATTGTTGTTAATTAGTTTTTGACAAAATTAAAGTGTGCAAAAAAAAGTTAACTTATTATACTACTCTAAGTGTGCAAATTCTCTAATTTATTATTTTGATCTCTCTAATTTATTATATTGATCTTTTTGATAGGGAATCATGTTTTACCTTACCATCTCTCTTCGTCACAAATTATTTGGTCTGACAAAAAAAGGAAAATCATAACAAGTTTTTGATTAGGATGGAATGCAATCAAGTGTCTCGAATAGGCACCATTGCTATTTTATACTGAGTTTCCATCCAAATAGGTTTGGCATCCTAGAATCCAACAATGGAAACCCCGTATGAGAGGTAGGTCCTGATATTGTTCTAGAGCCATGTCCCGAGCAGGCTGGAGAAGAAAGCCAAGCAAAGTTGAGACGAAGATTGCAGAGGTATTAACCAAGTCCCATTTGAAGAGCACAACTCCAGGTGGGTTAAGTCATGACATGAGAGACAACAAGAAGAAGACAGTAAACGGCATCGTCTTCCACATCAATCTTCATTCAGTAAAAAGTGTATTATCTTAAGATACTTATATTGCTTATGCCTCAATTAAAGTAAAGAGAGAGAGATTCCTACACTAGGGCAGTCCAATTATATTGTTGCTGAAGATTAGATCAGAGGATTTTTTTTTGATGAGACTTGTATAATCCAATTAAGAGCAACCAGTGCAGAAAAAAAAAATTAATTCTAGATCGGTTACTCTCTTGATGGCCACACCTAGGGATACTACGGCTAATGCCACAATTTTTGAAAGAACAAACTCTAAAACAAGGTTAATACAAAAAAACATGTAATGAGAGTTTTTAATTAATCAGGTGAAATTTCACAAAAAGCCAGCAAGAAATTATTTTTTTTTTAAGAGAACAAACTCTGCAAGGGCATATGTTGGTGTCACCGTGATCTTAGCCATTTGATAGAATCCAACTGGACAAAAACAGAAGCTTTTAAGTGTAGGATAAGAATATAAAACAGACACAATCTTTTTATCTCTTCAATGTCTGAACTTCGATCTACACAGTTTGATTAATGCTATCAAAGGTCAATTTACAGCTTGAGATATGAATCTTGATGCAATCATTACAGATTGAACTATGAACCTGTTGTGTTTGACGCTGGTATTAGCGAGACCAGAAGCAAAGGTCATGACAGCTTTAAAAGAGAAGAGAGAGGAGTACGGTGTTTTCTTTGATGTAGGAGACATTGGAAGTAATTAGAGAGACTTTAAAAAAACTAGAAGTAGCCAAGCAACAGAATGTGAATCAATCATTTTTTATAAAACTATTTTGGATACTTTGGTGGATCCTATATTTATATCGTAATTTTGAGATAATATAGCGGAGAATTGTGACATGGAAGGGCTCTCCTTTTAGAAAATGTCTCTCTGTATGGTATTTCAGAAGGACCATTTTTATAAAAGCCAATTTAAAGTAGACTTGGATCTTTGGAAAGTTAAATTGATTCCAAGAGAGTAAATCATATGTGTTGGATTGGATCTTGTAATCTCTTATGACATTGTATTATCACTGAGTACTTTATACGCTAACAAATACTAACTAAAACTAGAACTTGATGCAAATATATAAAAGTGCTCAACTTCAAATGAAACAATTTAGTTCCATTTTGTTCATATGAAGCTATGGGCTTATTGTGGAAAACAAAAATGTAATATTTATAACTTTATTTTTTTTAATTGTTCACAATTATGAAAGAATCTGATGTTTTCAGTAGCAAACAAAAATGGATATCATATTATAAGGGGGTAATTAGCGAACTATGAAAGTATTAGTAAGTATGTGAAACACATGTATCTACGAAATGGTCCTTGCTTTGTTTCACTTATCTGGCTACATTTACCTTTCATGAAGCTGAAGAAGAAGAAGAACATAGTGAAGGTCCATTTAGTAGTTTTAATGTTACATGTGTAATGGCATGTGGTTCCTTTTCTTTGATGCGACTAATTTGCTTTCATTTTTATAGGGTTTTCATGTTCTGCTGTACCATCTTCTTTAAATGCTGGTTTCGTTTTCTGGCTATACATATATATTTGGATAGTCAGAATCGATCGAGCAATTTTTTTTTTTGGCTGGAGTGTAATTGTGTGTTTCCTGAAGCTTATATGTCTCCATTATTCAGAAATACCTTCTATGTTTGTTTAGAATTGTAAAGATGGTTGATGTTCGGATGGAAAAGCTAATTGATTTTTCTAATGGAAGAATAAAAGCTAATTGATTTATCCAGTGGAAGAATAAAAACATGGAAGGATAAAAAGATGGGAAAGACAAAGATGATCATGAAAAAAAAAATGAGAGGGAGAGAATTAGAAGAATAAAAACCAGTATAAGAAGACAAACAAAAACTCTAAGACCAAAAAAACAATCGTAAGAAAAGAAGAAGAAGAAGATGAAGGAAGATAAAGAAGAAGTCGAAGATGATGAAGTAAATGAAAGATCGGAAGGTGAAGGAGAAAGTTACACAACATAAGAAGAAGAAGACAATGAAGGAAAAGGAAGAAGAGAACCCGGAAGAATAATAAGCTGGAGAAGACAAAGAAGAGGAATAAGTAAATTTGAAAGATATAGAAGAGGAATAAAAAAAGAAGAAGAATCCAAAATAGATGAAGAAGAAGTTGGAAAATACGATATGATGAAGGAAAAAAAAATAAAATAACCAGAAAAGTAATAAGAAGACAGATGAGACAAAGATGTTGAAGTAGAAAAAGGTGAAGTAGAAGTAGAAGAAAATTGGATAAAACACGAATTGGAAAAGGATAAGATAGAGAAAATAAACACGGATGAAAAAAAAGTACAAAGAAGACCAGAAGATGAAAAATAGAAAGTTGAAGAAGATAAAGATGAAGAATGAGACAAAGAAAAACCATAAAGAAGTAATAGAATATGAAGAAGACAACAATAATGAAGACAGAGAACTATGAAGAACAAATATAAAGCAGAAAGAAAAAAAATAAGAAGATGCCGGAGAAGACGTAAATGATGAAGAAGTTAAATTCATGAAATAGATGAAAAAAAAAAGCAGAAGAATACGACGGGAAAAAGATGAAGAAAAAAAATAGAAAGAGAAATAAGAAGTCAGAGAAGGCAAATATCATAAGAAAAAGAAGTGAAAGACGATAGAGAAAAGGAAAAAAAAGTGAGAAAGAAAATAGTTTAACTATTCTTTATTCTTAAATATTCTTAATCGGGGATAACATATATTGAATAATAATTTATATATATATAATAAAACTATATTGTAGTCTATATAATAATTATATTTTTAATGCATTATTGTTTTCAAATTTAGATCTATAATTGCAATAAGTGATTTCGTGCTTGTTTATGAGAAATCTAAGAACCGACAAGAAGGAGATACAATTCTAGTGAAATGGAAAGAGAGTTCCGACTATGGAGAGAGAGAGTTGTTTGTAATTACAATGTTTGAAACAACAAAACATAATTTACTAAATTATCGAGAAATATGAATATCATTTGTCGATGATACAACCACATATGAGAAATACTGTATACAATCATATGTAGATGAAGATAAGGATTGCGTTGTGTAAAAAAAATTTCATAGAAGCGATAAATCTTGTTATTGCTGATGAACATGAAGCATTTTTGGTGTCTTATTAATAATGTTGGCAGAAAACATTTCATTTCAAAACAATAAGTATATTATGAGAGAAATGAGTAATTGAAATTCTTGATATTTTTTATGTTATCGTATAATATATTTGATTTTTAGCGAATGAATTAACTAACTTTAGAATCGAAATAAAATTTGATGAGAAAAATAATTTTTGAAAAATATTGATCTATTTGGATAATAGCTACTGAAAAATCTAATTAATAAAATTCAGAAGAAGAAGTCGGAGAAAAAACCAAAAGTTGAAGATAATGATACTTCTGATCAGAATGTTCTTCTTAATGTGCCGTCTAATGGATTATGTGTGCCATTGATAAATATACATTTTTTTTTAGTTATGAAGATAATTATATTATGATCAGGATTTTCTTTTCGATGTGTCGCCCAATGAATAATTCTCTCAAACAGAACTTTTTCACATGACATGATATGAAAAAAGAATTCTTTTTCAAAATTATACTTACCAATATTCAAATTTTATAAGTAATTAATTTTGTATATATCGCATGCCCTGCACTTAGTGCGGATTCCCTCCTAATTTATATTGTTTATTGAGTGCTGGGGTGATCCCGATTTAGATTGCTCATGAGTCATGACCAAGTAAAATATAAGTTACATCGACTCGTATTATTTATTGAAATTTTTTTCTCCTTACTATTTTGTGCGATGAGAAATGGAGCATTCATTACTCAGCATTGTAGATTGGACCATTTTGTGCGGTGAGAAATGTAGCGTTAGTTTTGTTTTGTTTTTTTCTTTCGTATTTACTATTCTGTCGTTATTCCAAACATTTATTGCCATTAATTTTTTTATTTACTATTATTACTACTTTAATATGTTCCAATTTCAAAGCCATGAATTTCCCTAATTTCTGACGTTAGTCCACACACAAAAAAAAAAAAAAGCTTTCAATATCATTATAAATAAGATGTTTGAAACATGTATCACCAAAAAACAAATACAAAACACCTTTGCCTTTCAATATGGCCACAACAATGTTCATAAAACACATAACTTTTCTTTTTTCGTTGTTATTATTTTTGATTCTTGTGTTTCCAGCCGCAAACGCAATGAAAATGAACGATGTAAACACTTTTTGCAAAGAAACAGCTGATGTAGATTTCTGTTTGAAATACATTGGAACTGATAAACGTATAGTAGCCGCACGCGACCTCTACGACGTACTTTTAATTGCGGTAACGTTACTTAATTTATATTGTAATTACTTTGATCATCGTGTATTAGTTACTTCTCTAATAAAACATATAGCTAGTATTGGAAAAGTAATCGTAACATTCATCATTAGTTTACATTTGATAAAATAAATTTGAATAACTAGATCGAGAGAACACAGAAAATACTAAAAGCAGTCAAGAAGGGAACAAATCGTAAATATTAAATTTTAAGACAGGGATTATCTGCTCTGTTGCTGGTATATACTACTGTATATACATACATATAAAAATATAGATAAATAGACATATATTAATCTTAAATTATTCATCAAATTAATATCATCTTAATATTTCTATAAACGTTAATCAATTTATAAGTTTGTAAAGCAGGTCTTTACCAAAAAAAAAGAATTGTAAAGCAGGTCCTCTTATGTCGAATACCAAATCTTAAAAATTCCAAGAGGTTTCTGAATGTCCCACATATTTACAAAGAATAACTACTGAAGTGATGTAGTTAAAATCTAAGTGATGTAGTTTAATGGAAAAATCTAACCTCATTAAGGGCATCTAAATACTAATATAAAGAACAAAGACGGCGATTAAGAAACTTTGATTGGTATTATTCTTTCACTTTACAAAAATATATGTTTTTTCTGATTTCTGATAGAGACTTTTTATCATCAGCTTTACCAAAGCAAAATCCAAATAACCAACGCAGTCAAAGAACTCAACAGAGTTCGCCCAAAGTTTAGTGGTCCAATTGGGAAAGAACGAATCTCTTATCTGTGAGAGAAACTACGGGTATGCGTCCAATCACGTCCAAGACGCTTTAGAATTAGCAAAAAAAAATAAAGTGTACGCATACAAGGCTGGCTCACTAGCAACGGGTGGCTCGGTCTTTGTGCGCGAGTGCGAAGATGAATGGAAAAAGCATGGTCCGATACAAAAGTCGCCTGTCACTTTCTATAACAATAATGTTGCCAAAATGTCTTCTATTATTCGTAAAATCATCGACAAGTTGTATTGAAATTAACGGGAATTTTAGTTACTTAAGCGAAATGATAGGATGCAAGCTTGATGCTTTCTAATCTTTACTTGAGGCTCCACCAAAAACTAGATAAACTCTTTTTTGTGAAGATGCATCAGTGAACATGTTTTGATTTCTCACTAAATAGTATCCAATGGACTTTATCTTTTTGTGACTTGGGTATAATCGATTTCTACGTTGGAGGACAATATAGAGTTATACATTAGATACTCTACATGAAAAGTACTGAACAAAACTTTAATCCACAACAACAAAAGAATCTAAGTAGTTCACTTCATCAAAATTCCAAGTTATTTACAAGTTTAAAACAAAATTTTGGCAGAGAAAAGCAAATTTTGAAGTTTATTATGTTTTTGTCAATTTCATTTTTGGTCCTCTAGCATAAAGAATGACGATTTTACTTTCAGATCTAATTGGTCTACATATAATACATGAAAACGCGTATTGTTCCTAGTTAAAAACGGATGTACATTAAACAAAATGCTAAAAACTCTAATTATTTCATAAAAATGTTTTAAAAAATACACAGATTTTTACCTCAACCAGTATTAATTATACTAGGAGAAAACCATGCTACGCATGAGTTTTGTTTTATTTTGTTTTGTAAGTGAATATATTTTAAAATTTTAGTAAAACTATCAATTTTTTTCTATAATTTTTTTTAATAACTCTAGTAATCTCTTATAGTAATCTCTCAGCAACTAAATAATTATGTCACCATAATAATCACAATATAATTATGTGACAAATATTTTCACTCATCAATCTCATTGAATAATTCCATACGTGTGTATATATATATATATATTTACACTTATAATATGACCTTAGCCAACTTGCTCCATAGAACTATCTAGTTGACCCTAGAGCCGTTCTAACCCCTTTAAATTCAAAGGTCTTACATCTTTCCGTCTTACATCTTTCCCAAGAAAATTTATGGACCAACAAAGACACATGTATAAAAAATACAAATGTGAATCTAGATGTACAAATAATTTGATGTATATATATAATTTTTTTTACAACAGTATATATATATATATACTTTGTACATCTACCCTTAAGCTTTAAACACTTTTGAAGCTGTTCTGAAATTTTAAATAAAAATATAAAGAAAACACAAAAGAAGATTCACTATAAATTAAACAAGAATCAAGACACAGATGTGCGTCTCTATGTATCTATATTTGAGTTCCTCGTGACATATAGAGACATAAATATGTGAACTTAACGGACCGATAAGATATGATTCGCTGGGAAGAAAGTTGCTTCATGCATCAATTCTGATATGATCACATGAAAATGTAAACAAGTGATAGCAAAACAGAGCACACTGAAAACTTCATTGTGCGTCTCCATTTTAAATACTTATCACATCTAGAACACTCTTGCTGATATTATCTTAGCCTAGTATGACCACGGGCAATTTATATAGGCAAACGTAGTCGAGTAGTATTAAGAGCAAATCCATGATTACTAATTCACACCCATGAAATAAAATTATAAAAACACCTTATCATATTTAATCTCCCCACAAGAAATATCTATCATTTTTGGATTTCAAATTACAAAGTTTTGAGGTTTTACCTGAAGTTCATGGCGAAGATCGTTTAGAACTTGCAAATAGCGTAGCAGAAAAGAAAATGAAATTAATAAGAATGACCAGAACCAGAGGAGCACTAAAAGCTCAAAAGAAACATCCCGTAATCAATCACCGCAACTCCTAACTAATTCCCATGCTTGGGCTGAAAACCAGTTAAACCATTCTAACACACAACCAACATTTAATCCTATTGAATTGGACAAGAAACATGAGAAACTAAAACACCATTAAGCATGTGTTTCGAATCTGGGGCGTTCTGAAACAGGGTAATCCCAGTAAAGCTCCTGCCATCTATTCTAATTCTGAAAAATGAAAAGACAATCAATTGTAGAGAGAATAATATTTGTATTCCTACACTGGATTATAAGCCAAGCTCAACCACAGAAGGAGTCTATCTAAAATCTGTTATGTTTTCCAGTCAGTTCATCATTCATCTGTTGGACATCGTGATTTGTTAATGCATCTCACCAGTCAGTTCGAGGCCGAAGAACACCAATTCTAAGGCTCGTCTCCTTTAACATGTCAGTGGTCCACCAAATTGGCACAGAGAAGATCCATATTATTTTTTCAATAACTCGAAAGCATATAAACCCTTAAATTTTACAAAATAAATTGGATTCAAACAAAAGATAGTTGTCGCTTGAGTTGAATACTTGAATGTAAAGCTTCATACGTTTTTTTACGTCTAGTCACTAAATGAGACTTGGAGAAGATGAATTGAACGACATAAGGATTTCAGATGAATAGGAAACTGTTGGGTTTTTCAAGCCCATGTCCAACTCCCTATTAGTATGATGTTGTCCACTTTGAGTTCAAGTGGCAAAGCTCGCACGGATTTTTTTTGGATTTTTTTTCAAAAGGTCTCATATCTATTGGACATCTTACTTATATACTAGACACTCTTGGTCTAATATTCCAATATGGGATTTGGATTGATATCTCAACAATTCCTCCCTCAAACCAAAAACCAAACAAATCTGTGGTCTCCCCCAACCTTCTGCGAAACTTGGCACTCATTTTGTATTGTCCAACCTAACCCTCCGTTCACCATTAGGAATACTTTCGACACAAGGCACCAGCACCCCAATCACAAGGTCACCTTGAGGGCTCTTCACCACACCGAACACATAGTCCATACCCACTTGTCCAGGTCCACCTTTTCAGTACTTGTTCTGATACTAATTGTTAGGTTTTTTCAAGCCCATGTACAACTCCCTATTAGTACGATATTGTCCGTTTTAGGCCAAGTGGCAAAGCCCGCACGGATTTGTTTTTGGATTTTTTTTCAAATGGCCTCATACTAATCTATTGGACATCTTACATATATACTAGACACTCTTGATCTAATCTTTCGATGTGTAATTTGGATTGATATCTCAACAGAAACTGAGCTATTTTTTGGGACAAGTGGCACTCTTTCGAGTGCTGACGTGGCGATCAGGTGGAGAGAGTTGGCCAAGTTTTATAGTATAAATTTTTTTGAGACAAGTGGCACTCTTTCGAGTGCTGACGTGGCGATCAGGTGGAGAGAGTTGGCCAAGTTTTATAGTATAAATACAACTAGAAAGACAGGGAAGAAAAGTTTAACACTTCCTTTCACAAAAACATGTTAAAACTTAAAACTCCAAGGGGCTCACAGAATTCCCAGAAAGTTGAACATGAGTAATGTAAAAACGGAATAAATGGGTGGCTTTTCGTTGAGGAGCTACATGCATTATAAATTATTAAACACTATGGTGAACACTAAACACGCACAAGATTAAATTCCTTCTATCAAAACATGTTCGATGATTTCACATTGGGCTACCAAATTTTTGGATGTTTGCTTTTGTATTTTTTGTTCAACTCATACTTATATTATCTTAAACAGCGATTACAATCTATACATGTCGAAACTTGTTATCAGAAAGGCTGTACATGGTGTTTGGGCAAATTTTAACCAGTTCGTACGTGAATAGTTCTACGGAATGACGAGAAGGAGTAAGTTTTTATTAATCAACGAGTATCGAGTTACAATGAATCAATATCGAAGATCTAAATAATCTGGTATCATCCATCGCTCGCTATTCATCGTTAATTGGCGAAGAACAAAGCTACGATGATGTTTGGTCTCTCGATTCTTTGTCGCTGTCGTACCTAGCTATTAAAGTAGAGCTTTTAGGGTTTTTAGCCGTAAGTGTTTGTCTATCCGTCTTTGGTCCAGGACTTCTCTATTTATAAGTTTATATCAATCCTAATCTTAATTGGATTTGGCTTTGTATGTCGGTCTCTCTATAATTCTCTTTGAATTGGGAGCTTATGTCGGTCGGTCGCTCCAACTCTCTCTAAATTCTCGGTTTACTCAAGAATGTAAATCAACGACTTATATTAAGCCACAGGTCGATGTTAAACCGATTGACAAAGACGAATACTCGATGTTGAGACTCTCTCACTAGTGACCGTTCGTCACTCCCTCTCTTTCAGCAGGTACACAAGCACAGTGACCGTTCACCACTCATTCCCTCTTAGCAGCGACACGATCACAGTGACCGTTCGTCACTCATTCTCTCTTAGCAGCGACATGATCACAGTGACCGTTCATCACTCCTTTTCTCTTCGCAGTGACAAGACCGCAGTAACCGGATAGTGAATTAATTTCACCCAACAACTTGCCCCTACTCTTCAATTTCTTATTTAGAATTTGGAGAGTAAGTTTTTTTTTTATCGTCGTTCGATGCGCGAAAATATTTCTTGTCTATTTGCACCTTGTTTAGTTCTACCATATGTCGATTCCGTGGCCATTCCTTATTTAGGATGGACAAGCAGATTTTATTAAGAATGAATGGAGCTTCCATATCACATGAGGCATGTTCCATATGTGTGGAGTGACAAGCGTTGATGTATCTTCTCTTTCATTAACTGATGGTACATTCTGACCTTGTAGGTCTAGTGTCGATGCTCAAATATAAATATTTCGTTGGTTCATTCATTTCATATGGCTGGCCATCATCTTCCCTATTAATACACAGCTTCTTTGCCGAAGGTGTGAAAGGTCATTGGAAGCTCGTCCTTGGAAGGTTCATTGTTGGAAGATCATCATCATTAATTAATCGGTGGTAAGTCATCATCGTTGGTCGTTGCTCGATGTTGAGAGCTCATCATCGATCGTTAGGAAGCTTATCATCGATTGTTGAGAGCTCGTTATCAGTCGTTGGGAGCTCATCGTTGATTGTTAGGAGTCCGTCGTCGATCGTTGGGAGCTTGTCGTTGATTGTTAGGAGCTCGTCGTCGATCAATGGGAGCTTGTCCTCGATCGTTGGGACCTCGTCGTCGATCGTTGGGACTTCGTCGTCGATTATTGAGAGCTCATCGTTCGTACGTAAGATTGATCTAAAAA